CTTTAAAGAACTGTTTTTTTTCCCAAATGAACCCTTGCAGTGGGGCTGCCCCCTGTGATGCAACGGTTATGGGCTCATTTTGGCTGCAAGGCAGAAAGAAAAAAAAAAAAAAAGAAGACTATACACTCACCTGATCCTCGAGCCCGCAAAAGTCAGCACTCACCTCTCTCGCCCCCCCTCTCTCTTTTCACCCGCTATACCAAAATGGGAACTTAACCCTTGCAGTGCAGGGGTAGCTGTAATTCTCAGTATATGAGATTATGTCTGCATGGATATTGCATGATACCCTTGCAGTGGGGCCCTTATGCTCCAAAGGTTAATGCTTATTAAGTCTAGGACAGGGGTAGACAATCTCTGGCCCTCCAGCTGTGGTGAAACTACAAATACCATGAGGAACTGCAAGACTCTGGAGAGATTATTCCTTAATTCTCTGGCTACTGGCACTCATCTCTGATGCTCCGGGTTGTGGGCAGGACATTGGCATTGCCACATACAAATGTAGAACTATTGATCCTTAAAGAGGCTGCAGGGGACCGGGTGCCCAAGTGGAGGTAGGCTGCCAGACTAATGAGGCAAGTATCACAGCTCATTTCTCTGCCGCTAGACCCAACACGCCTTTAACCCTTGCAGTGCAGTGAGGCCCCAGAGTTGGGCATTAAGGCAGCCCAATTATTCGGAATGGGCTGCTAATGCACCAAAATGGCATTTCAAACAGTTTGGTGAGCAAGGTACAGTATGTGATATCCCAAGTGATAGGCACCACACCAGAGAATACAGTGCGAGGTTAGAGCAATTAAATTGGGGTTTTAATGGTGGCCCAGCAAGGATAGTAGACTCTGCATGTATAAAAGTAGATCAGTTATTCAACAACAGATATAAAAATCACATCCACAAACATTTTTCCATGTACAGTAAGGGAACCAACTCATAAACCAGCACGGCAACACAAGTCTTTCTTTGGTACTTAGAGAGAGAAATCCAGCTCTTTGGGGATGTGTTGCTTGTCGATAGTATAGACACCGCCTTGCTGTTTATACTGTTTGACGCGTTTCACCAAGATTAGCTTCCTCCGGAGTGAGGCGTTTGTAGATAGCCATACAACATGAGAGCGCAAAAGACTGGCAGAAGATGCCAACCTTTTGAGGGGGGGGGGCCACAGGAGAGGTCATATCCAGAAACAGCAACGACCAGGAATCTACTGGAGGGACATTTTGATGGCCACCCTGATAGACCATTGAACCGGATCCCCCGTGGTTGCCCTTTCTGGACAATGTATCAGTAGTAAAAAAAAAAAAATGGAACAGATAAGCACACAGACACAGGAGTTCTATCTAAACATTTGTTTATTAAATTATTTCAATAAAAAATAAGCCGCATTAATATAAACAGTAGAATAAATAGCACATGGCATGGAGACCTTCATATATACACATATAAGCTATTTAACAATATATGGTACAAATATTATAAATTACATTCACATGATGGAAAACTTCAGGTGGTATTACAACCTTTTTTGGAGGGATACCAAGCTGGAATGGCTGTGTAAAAGCATTTATACTTCATTATACGAGTCATTGGGAAGAGTCTATATGTACATTTATATACACCGCGCAATTATTTACAATAAGGAAGACAAAAAGGGCCCTTGTGTTGGCCAACATCAATCTCCGGACATTCAACTTCAACTCAGAAGCCCCCCAGGAACTGGGAGTCATTGTACTTCCTGTTAGCATCAACAAATCATACACTGATGAACAGCATCATTAGGATGCACGAATAACTAGAATTTGTAGGGTATCTCAAGACATTATGGACTTTACAAGGGCAGTTCAGATTAAGAGGAGAATGTTACCAAAATTGATTTTCAACTCTGGCCAAGCAAAGCCAGCTTTGCTTCAAACATCAACCAAAACTCAGGTGGGAAATTTATCAAAACTGGAGCAGCTGTGCAGCGCAACCAATCAGAGCCTCTCATTTTCAAATCTTAACTGAACAAACTGAAGAGAGAAGCTGATTGGTTGCCCCGGGCAACTGCTCCAGATTGTCTGCTCCAGTTCTGATAAAATTGCCCCCATAGTACGCCAAGATCTGCCAAATAACTTTTTGAAAAACCTGATTGAGGTTTTCTAGTGTGCTTGCGAATTATGTGCAATCAGCTACAATGAGCTCCATTTCCAACAAGAGTGGGACTCAGTAGCTCAGATCTGCTGTACGGCGGGTAAAAAAATCATAAGACGACCAGCCTAAAATGTAGTCTCCTTGCCCAAATATTGGAGGGGCCGATCTATACCAGACTGGGCAAAGATTGCAGAATGGGCATGAGACGCATTTAGGCAACAAGGTCATACACTGCAAGATTCAATCAATCATACTATAAACTAATCCAATTTCCAATCCCACTGATAAAATTCGTTTTCAGAACCTTCCTGGGGCCAGGTACAAACCTAGCTCAACATTTGCCAGATTAGGTTGTATCCCTCCCTTTTTAAATTTAGGGACAAGCAAGATCTACCCCAATAATTTGCACAGTAGTTGGACACAAGCACCACCTCACATTTTGAAGGCTACGTGATTCTGATGAAGCCTGGGCAACAATGCATCCATGTTTCCACCATGTTCACCAATACAACTAGCAAGATACAACTTTGAGTGTCATCAGTCCAGACTGATGGCAACCAGTGAAACATGACCAAAATTACACAAAAAGGGGGGTTAATGTATAAAAGTGCCTTTGGCCAACCAAATGCCAGCTATTCAGGAACTAGTTGGCTAGTATGGATGCAGATCTTCCTTTTCTCCATTACTGTCATTTCTTAATAACCCCTCACAAGTGCTTGTGTCCATCATTAACACCCAACAAGATGTTGGTCAAAAAATAAATAAAAAAATACCTTTTAGGTCCTCCCACAACAAGCTTTATGTAAACTGCAGAGTAGCACCATACTGTGGTAAACCATAACAGTCAGCCCCATGTATGAAAGTGTAGGCCTCATTCTTAAAGAGGAATGTTACCCAACAATTTAAAGTCTCCTACAACAGTTACTTCTAAGGCACGCCAAGGTTACCAGTGTGCTCATTTCATCTCTGAATTGAGCTTTCAAGTCCTCAAATAGCCGATCATATGTGCAGCACCATGGCAACTGCCAAGATAGCACCTTCCTTGGCTGTAAGGGATAGGAGGTTGTTCTGCTTCAACAAGTTTAAAAATTGCAAAGCTGTTGCCGATAACAACCGGATTCTCTCAATGCGGTTGGTAGGGTCAACACTGCAATATTTTCTTCACACGCAGCATCAAGGCCTTGTGGGGTCATCAGCCTCACATTTTTCTAGCGCAACCTGGAAAACACATGAGAATCTGATCACTTCCCATGGGCAACACAATTCTTCCAGGCACCAAGCATACAGATGGCCTAGTCTTGTTATAATGATACCAATACTATATCCAAATCCCAGATTACATCACCTTGGTCCACATGTTTAACAATTGTCCACTAATGACTGTCCAAATTTGTCCTATTGTATCCTACACTAGCAAATCTGGAATATGGCCGGTATGGACATTGAGAAAGTCAGTTTGGGATAATTAGCCTTCTTCATAAATGTTCTTGAGGGAAGTCTTACAGCCTGTTACCCATAGCAACCAGATTTTTTTCTTGGATTCTCCCATACTGCACTTCGAGAAGAAAAATCGAGAACGATTGTCTATTCTAGGCAACACAGAATGCATGCGTGAGCTTCCAGATTTGGGTTCCACTGTTTAAACAATCGACCTTATGCAATAAAAAGTTCATATTCTCAAGTGCCAATTCTTAAAGCAGTCCACTACATTATGGGTTCTGGCCAGTTGCTTGAGTGGGCACAATCATACGGCACCTATATGCTGCAGATTCTCACTAGGGATTATCTACAGTTTGCTATTCCGAGTCTCTCTCTCTCTCTCTCTCCCCCCGACAAACTTATAGTACTTATTGATCCTGCCAGTAGACAGTTGTGACTGCTTAAAATGTGTTAGCTTGAGTTGGGCTTTAAGTGTTGTCACCCTAGTCCAGGGGTAGGCAACTTTGCCACTCCAGTTGTGAAGCTTCAAATCCCAACATGCATTTGCCTCTGGGAGTCATGCTTGTGACCACCAGTCTTACAATGCCTCATGGGACTTGTACTTCGACAACAGCTGGAGTGCCAAGGTTGCCTACTGCTGCCCTAGTCTATCTCTGGGACTAGAGTGACAACACTGTTGTGTGATTTCACTGCAGATCAGATAGGGTTGTTACCCTGCTAAAAGAAATGGAAAAAATAACATATATACTGCAGGATCAATAGGCAATTATAGTGCAGAAAAAAAAACAAACCAAAAAATCTGTGTTAATGCTTGTGATGGGATTGTATCATAGGTTGTTTCTTTGTCCATAGTACTTTTTTTTTTTTTAATAGCATGTAGGAACAAGAGTAAATAATAAGCGCTTGTAATTGAAGGCTAATTGCCCCTTGTTCCTCTGCCCTAGTTTGCATAAAGATCACTTGAAACGAAAAAATGGACATCGTCGGGACAGAACCACCTTGTGGCTGCTTCTTTAGCACCGTTTGCCCCTTCCGATGAAATACTGATGCTGGATCTTCACAATAACACCGGTCATAGAACATTTCATAAATAAAAGTGATCCCACCTGATGACAGACACCATATAAAAAATATATAAATCTGACATACAAAAATAGGAAGGCTGTGTTGACTAGGGAGCAGTGGCAAAGAGGGTTACTTTAGGGCCCCAGTTAACATTGAGTTTTCATAACAGCAGCAGACATCCCCCAACATTTGCCTACACCATCCAGTACAATTTTTGACAATTTCCAACATCAGGTAACCAATGGGTGTGAAGAAACTGTAAACCACTTTCTTGAACGTCTTCATGATAGGATAATAATAAGAGTGCAACATATTAAAGCCCTTTAGATGACAGGAAAAAGGCCATCAAAAGGTTGAATCCTCTTTAAGCCAAACTGGCGATACATTGTGGAATAGTCTTTCAGAACCTTCCTTGATAAATATAAAGAGCAGCGTAATCTTCAGTGCTTTAGAACTTTTTCCAGTTCGGGGTCCAGTTGTAACATTCTTCCATCGTTGAGTGATGATCAAGGGAAGGGTGTATAGAATCATAAATTCACCCTAGAGGAACAAAAGCCACGATTAGAGGTATGGCTCCAATAGCACAAGTAAAGGCAGAATAGTTGACAAACATGGTGCAGAACTGGCTATAAAGATTCTCATTTATTCAGGTCGTAGTATTTGTTAGTCATAGGTCCAGCGAATGTGACTAGTTACTACTAGTTGGGGTGCAGGACTAACTGAATGGATCTCATCATTGTAAGGGTGATTATCTTGCCCACTGACCAGTGGCGTCACAAGGGGGATGCGGCCCGCACCCGGGTGCCATCATTGGAGGGGTGACACCAAAATGACTGAGTCATTTTGGCGTCACCCCTTATGAAATGTCGGGCACTCGGTCACGGACCGAGAGCCCGACAGTGTCAGGAGAGAGGGGACCCGGCGACATTCCTTATCCCGCCGAGTGAACGTCTCCTCCTCTCTCTGCCGGCGTCCATCACCAATGTGGCCACTGGCAGGCATCAAAAAGACCACTGCGCATGCGTGATGACGTCACGGTGGGGTGTCACCCGGTCCCCGCCCCCGGGTGACAAATCACAATACAAGTTGGCAGCCCTGGCCAGTTCTCTGTTGGACTACAGAACACATTCACCTCTATCTCTATAAGTGAAAGCTGTGCTGTACTGAATATATTTTATCCCAGACATACGTCATGTCTTGGCAGCTCCAGCAGAACTAGGTGTGAAACTGTAAAGCTGAGGTGCCACTACTGGGGTTCTCCAAGCACCAGAACCCAGTTGGCGAATTGGCCCAGAATGAAAAGATCGTGGAGCATTAGGATGAGACACAAGACTCCCTTGTTGGGCCTTGGCATTTCGGTGAAGGCTTTTTAGCTTCAGCAGAAATGGTTGCTTCTGATGGAACATAACAACCCAGTCATTTAAAACGTCGACGAATCCTTCTAAACTCCAAACTGCAGATAATTGGCTACTACTGGCAAGCATTCTTAAATCAGGAATTCAGCTGAACCTGAAGAGTAATGTGACCTTGGCAGGTGGAACAAGTCTCCAACTGACAGTTGTGTCAAAGAATGCTTAAAAATCTACACATTAATCAATTTAGGTTTTTGCTGCCTATACCAAGGTACCCTCAGGTTATCCATGTGGCCACTTAGTATTGTATGTGTCTGTACTTGGTGCAAGCCTTTCCAGAAACCATTCATCTAAACCACCTAGACTGAAAGATGGGTTCACTTCTTACCGTTTCCGTGCCTTCACTTCCCAGCCATCTCTACATTTCTCAAAGACCAGCTCACTGCCCGGAGCTATGCGACTTGCGTGAAGATCTTTTAGACAAAAAGTGAACCTAAAACATAAAATGTAGAACATATTTAATCCGTATAATCATATTTGGTGGACTTTTATTTGGTGGAAAAAGGAGCAAGATCACAAGGAAAAGGTGACAAGAGGTTAGCTATTTTGTGTCCACGCTAAAAGGAAAGTCTGGATCCCTGGTGACCCAATTCCACTGCAGATTAGGAAAGGAATGAAAGGTTCTGATTGGTTGATATGGACAATAAAGCAGTTTTTGCTCAGATATTTTACAGACACTGAACACAGTGATATTACAGAATCCCAATGGCTTAGAAGTTCACCAAATAGGTTTGATTTAGCAGCCATCCTGAGTTAGCCGTGGCTAGTTAAATATAAGGTCAGGGCAAATGGAAAAGTCTCCACTTCTCTAATGTCACATGCCCATTTCCCATGTTTTATCACCTTAAAAACACTGAGTACAGAAACATAGCTGTTGATGTTAACCCAAGGAAAAGGCCACACAGATTAAGCCCTGCCAATAAATTCCTAAAGCTGAAATGCGTTGAGTGGTCTGCCCCTAGGCAGGGAACTCTGTTATGCTTGAAGCCTTATGGATTAAAGTTTACAATTTGGTGGACAGTGGTGTGCGGCTTTTTCCTTGGGTCTACTGTAGTAGAGCATGGACAGTTCCTGGCTTGCACCCACATATGTCTGGGTGATGGAGACTCATCATTGGATGGAGCTGCGATATTCGTATACCTGTATATGCCATAAATCTAGTAATCTCCCAATGTTGAGTTTAAAACGCAGTACCTTTTCTGCACTGGAATTCAAACAAGCTTTGTCAGGTATGCCTGCTGGACTACAGGAATCTCACACCCCTTTCTGTCCCACATCATGCGCATAGATGGATTCCTTTAACAGCAAAACAATGCTGCTGCCTTGACTCCAAGAGTCTGCACATACAGTGTATAGGAAAGGGACCCTTGGGAGATACAGTTCTGGGTGGCATACCTACATCACTAGAAATTGATCTCCCAGCAGCTGTCCCTGCAGGAATTTTACAAGCCTGGTGATAATCTGAGTAATAAAAACGGTTTCTTGCTAGAGGAACAAGGTAAACAAAAAAATAATGCTGGAATATGATCTGGATGGTGCAGAGGGAGATCTGGGAGCAATTTGGGTCACATCCAGACATACCCTTTAACAATGCTTCAGTCACAAAATGGCTATTGCCCACTTATTTGGAGACAAAAACAACAAAAAGGAGTTTAGTGGCTGATATGTGCAACAAAAGCCCCAAAACCTCCAGCATTCTCACACCAATAAAGAGGCATAAACTTACTTTTGCTGCGTTTCCCCGGACTTCACGCGGATACGGCGGACATGCAGCTCCTTATGACCGTTGTCGGGCGCTGACCAGTAACTCTGTAGAGAGCTCCAGAAGGAGTACCAGGACTGCTTGGTTCCTTCCCAAGTTAGCTTTATAGACAGCAGGTCGCCAATGTTTTCTTCGGTGTGAACCAAGAATGTGTTTGTGAAGTTGTAGCCAATCTTCTCGGGCCTAAATGTGAAAGTAGAAACCCTTTTAACATCAGACAAATTACTATTTTAAACACATCTGCCAGTTACAGGTTACTATACCAGCCCAGGGATAAACCTTTGAAAGCTTTCTCAAGCTTCTTAGGAGTCCTGAAACCCAAGGCACTTAGTATGAAAAATGTCAATAGTTTCCATGTCAGGAGCAGACCTGCCCCTTTTTACATGGTCATTGGTCCATCAGTATGAAATATAACCTTATTGGCCAATAGAAGGTACAGGAAGTGTTGGCCCAACTATAAGCAGCAATGGTTGACTCCAAAAAGTTTCAAAAAGTATTTTTGCCCAGAGGTCAATTTAGTTGCATACTTTTAATAGTTCTGTAAATAAAAATCATAAGAGGAACCCTTGTCGGGCTATTGTGCAGAGTGCTCAGTTAGCTAGGGGCCACTATAAGTGGTGTTTACAACACACAAAAAAAAAAAAAAAAAAAGAACAGGCTCAACACCCAAATGTTGGCCAACATTATATAGTCCATGTCTAGTACAACAAATGTTGCCCCTCAGTTATGTAGAAAGAACATTGTAAAAAGGTATACTGTAACCCTGGTGAGGGTCAGGCCCTTCATTTGTATACAAAGAGCCTCTAAAATTCGATATTTTACAAGAGTCTGGTTTTCTTCATGTCAGTCAAGTAGCACAATACTTACACAGTCAAAGAAAGAGCGGCAGAGTCATTCTGTGTTCCAAAGAGTGTGACAGCAAAAGTGGGTTCTGTAGACGATTCTTGGTGCTTGTAGTCGAATATGTGCATCTTCATTTGGTAATGGAAAACTGCAAAATAAAGATAAGAGATGTTAGAGAACCAATAATTAGTCAATATAGATGCTTCAATAAAGTAGATGTCTAATCTGAACCGGAATTAGGAAGAGGATCAGTAGCCGAGCCAAGTGTAGTTTCTATATTTTAAAGATGAGTGCAATGAGTTGCCCAATTGCCAATTATTTTTTAATAGAAGGCTTTAAACTCTGCAGCAATGTCCCAATTATGGCTTCCAGGCCACACTGTTGTCTGCGTTTCTGTGGAAAGTACCCAGTCTTGGGAGTACAGTCATTCCCCTTGGCAACACAAGTTCCTCCATCACAGAAGGAAAGTGGAGGACCTGTGCTGGTGTGAGAGTCAATGAATAGGAGAAGGTTCTTCTGGTTCCTCCAATGGGACTTAATTTAATACAACAGTGGTTGCCCTTCTAGACTTGGTAATCCAGTAACAAAACTTTAATGAGTTGCAAATTCACTAAATGCATAAATCTTGAAGGCATGGCCTTCACATTGATCAGCAACAACTCTCAGATTAGTTGCTGGGACCCTTCCTTGAGGGTGATAACCTTAGGCTGTTGGAGAATCATTTTACCACCTAGAGGGACATACCTTTGTAAGGCATATAAGCCCTGGTTTTCAGGTACATTTTGCTGTTCCTCTTGCTGGTGCTCTTCTTAGCATTGTAGCCAATGGCATTGCAGCGGTTCTTGCGGCAACTCAGGCAGATCCCCTTCTTGAACCGATTGGAGTCTGTACACTGGAACGCAAAGCTCTCCTTGTCTTTATTGATGAGGGAATCTACAAACAGATGGACTGACCTCTCATGCTCACACTTCACTGCTTCCCCAATACCTGCAGAAGACCAAAATGCATATATTAAGGTTTCGAACCCAAGTGGACCAAAGCTCTGGATTTGCATGAAGCTTGTCTATCACAAGCTTAAGGCTAAGGATAGACAGTGGTAAAATACTGATGTCATTGTGTGGGGGAGCCAAAGCTCAGCCTCCCAAACAGCACCATGACCTTTAAAGTCCAAAGACTGCCATTGATAACTTTGCCTTCCCAAAATACTAGCTCCCTGGCAGTGTTGATCCAGTGGCTTTAATTACTTCTAGGCCACTACCTCAGAACAGGCATGCAAATTCAGAATTTTCTCATCTTTATTCTTATTCTGGGTTAGCATCTCAGAGTATTGTAGTGCTGTTCTGCCACTAGCTGTTCTCAGCCCTCTGGGATGAATGATGACCAGCTTAATATAACCTAGTTCCTCTGGACCCAGGCTGTCTTTATATCAGCCAAGAGTTCAGCTTTAAGTAGGAGTGTGCATTGTGGGGAAGCTAGACATTGTCACTCAGGGCAAAGGCTCAGAGCTGCTCCATCCCCCTAAAGTAGAAGTTCTCCATCCACACCCCCAGTGGCATCCCTCCTAAAGCAGCACCTGGGGCACATGAC